TTTTATTGTCAGTAAGTACTCATAAGTGTCATTTGTACTACTGGCCCATCGATTGCGCGACTTGTTGAGAATCCATTTTTGTCCGTCAATTGTTGGCTTCTACGATGTAGTTTAACGTCCTTTGGTCACAGCCCTGTATATCCAACAGCTAACCCCTTTTTTCTTTTTCAGGGTCGTTACGATTATGGGTTGCAAATCGGAGGGTTTCTTTGTTTATGGCTTATGACGTCGTTTGATGTTGTACATTATATAATTATTATCAATCCATTTGAGGCCTTTGATCTTATGAGTCCAATGTCTCGGCTTTTATTTTATTATCATGGGCATAGTCATAAAAACTAACTTCTATTGGGTCCATCTATGCTAGGCTACTTGCCACATTCAGTGAATCTTTTTCTTGCAGCGGTGCAAAAATGAGGCGAACTTAAAAAAAATATAATAAAAGGGTTCATGCTAAAGCGTCAGGCCGTAAATGTTTAATGGTCCATAAAAATCGTAGTCCATATATCTGATTTTATTCAACAACGGCGATGGCCAATTAGACATGGCCGATAAATGACACTGGGGACGTAGGCGGAAACGGGCCCGTGGTGTTTACGCCGGTGGAAAAAGCCGGCTTTTCCGTCGGTCCGGAGGGTTTTTATCATACTTTTTTCTTTCTAAGGTCGGATTGAACTTGTGGCCTCCGGTCGGGCCGGATGGTGAAGCAGGAACAGGAAGAAAAAGCTTACATCATACTGCGAAATGGGATCACGCATCTGTGTGTACAGGTCAATGTGTTTTTTACGTTAGATTAAGTAAAACCTTTGAGGACAAAAGAAATTAGTTCTTTGATTCCTCTCGGCTTTGAAAATATTGGACTTTATTCATGAAAATCCTTTTGTTTGAGAGACGTTTGCTGGAAGATCACAAGAAAAAGAACTAATCAAATAACGTGTCCCACACGATTAACATAAAACAAACCCAAAAATAACAGAAAACCCGTTTTGGTTAATTTAAGCCATGCGACAAACTATTTGCGCTTCAACGAGTGTCCTTGTCCAAATTTTCCCACAATTAACAAATTTACGTTTTCCTGTCTAGTGGGATTTCGACATTTCATTGAACATTAAAAATTATAAGATCTTCTTGAAATCTCAACGTAATTTTTCCAAAAATACACTGCAGAAAACAGAGATAGTTTATTTTGTAAAATCAGGTAATACAAGGAATGACATAACAGTACCAAATGAGTTTTTTTTGTAACAGATAATCCGCAAGGTGAAAGTTTTCTAATCGCGAAGATCTTGAAATTTCCCTCGTCGATGAACTTCTGATTGTTATTGATGATCTTTACAATTCCTTCTATTACAGTCGGTCGGAACAAATACGTAGATTTAGATAAGATGTCCGATAAAGTGTAAATGTCGTAACAAAGTTTTCTCTTTCTAATCTAACATGTGAGTAGTGACCCACTTTTTAAAAATTTACTTAATGGATCAATTGTGGGGGGTATGCCATTACGCTTGAATTAATCAACATTTAAATTTTTAAATATTGAAAATAATTAATGACATAATATTTATAGGCTGATTATAACAAATATAAAATAAAGTTCGGTGAAAAACCAAAACATTGCAAGAATTCAGAAGAAGTTTGTGGTGGATGTTTGCAATTTGACGGGCCCTAAATGTTTACATGATGTACGGTATAGTCTAAGAACTTTATTTAAATTATTTAAAACCATAAACTATATGATAAACCGAGGTCCAACAATGCTGCACACTTTTGCGGTCAAAGCTTTTGGAATAATCAAAATCTATGAGAATTCAGAAAGGCTTTAATGACATATTTTTATAGATAAGGAATACTGATTATTGACCTTGAGCTTAATGTTCACACAACACGATACATTTATTCAGTTTTAAATCTACCCAGCTTGTTGCAACTAGGCAAAACTCCTGGAATCCGATATAGTTTGTCACGAGAAATTTCTCTGAAATGTACGCAGTCCGAGCAGATATAAGCAGTACAACCCACACCGTCGCTTCTATTCAAGGGAATGGTTTTTTTAACGGGCATCATATTAAGATATTAAACCCATAACAATGCTGTAGGAAGTGATCGCTCCTGCACACTGTTCGAATCAGACGGTGGATAATCGTAGAAAATCTTCTCCCGGCTTATACCCAGACCTACGGACGATGTTTGGAGTCAAGAGCACGTTACATGCCATATTGCCCAAAGTTGCATTATTGGTCGAAAAGGTGGGTAATATATTTTCTAGAGTAAAGTTTGGTTAGGGATGAGAGAGTAACTTTAGAGTAAAAAAGTAATTAGAAGAGAGAGAAGTAGAGTTAAAGTAAGTAGAGTTAGAGTAAAGTTCATGTAAGCGTTTTAGATCAAGTTTATTAATAAAAATTCTTTTATGGATAAATATAAAATTATACTTAACGATCAAGCTATTGCATTGATTCAGCGACTGGTCTTTCCCTGATTATACCCTTGACGTCCCACTGTCTGACTATAGGCCTTTTCAATGGCCTTTTTTTTGGGGGGGGGTCAAGTTATGTATGTGTTTCATATAAATCAATGTAAATCTTTGTTTTATACATACCAATTTATTATAGGTTATGATCACTTTGTAAGGATTAAGAGTTTAGCCTCTCCCTACTTATATCTCTTACGTACCGTCATTTGATAATGGCCTTTTTAGTTATATTTATTTTGAAATCCCAACACTTCAAAAACGACAAGGGTATGAAGAGTTTTTGGGGATATTTTATCTACCAAGATTTTCTGGTGATGATTTTGAAGGTAGCCGAAACGAGTCTGACAGACCAAGAAATTGAGGATAGGCAGACCAAAACAATTGGAAACGACCACAAATAAATGTTCATCACCTTGCAAGGCCCAAATTATCTTTGATTTTCAAACATTTTGATAACATTTTTTTTCCGGCACAAGGTCAATTTGAATCATGTTAATCATTCATAAAAATGTTGCCCTGGCATTTCCTTCATTATGAAGTTGTTCTGAAAGTTGCAACACGCGGCTTATCACGTCCAAATATTGACTCGAGATAAGCCGATTCCCCCGTGGCAATTATTAAAGCGAGGAAAACAAGAAGGCCGACGGCGGAATTTACCGGCCCCGCCGATAAATTGGTTAACGGGCCACCGCGGTAGGGTAAATGCAATAAAGATTGATGCGGGGTTTCAGACGTTCATTAATGATTCGGGAAGGTCATTTATCTCGGCACCACCCCAAGGCAATAAAACCCGGGGATCCTAAGATCCGCACCCCGAGGGACGGGGTTTTTTTCGACTTGAACGAAATCAAAAGCTAGCGTGACTTGCGGGAAATTCGTCCTGTACATACTAATTCCGAAGCAATCATCCCGTCTGCACGGATTTGCCTCGAATGATCGGTTTTATCATCGATTTAAATTTACCTTAAAACCCGAAAAATGCGCTCACACTAAAACCTAGCCTTATCATTACAAACAGGGTTGGATCTTTTCATTTTTTCTTCTTCTCTTTTCTCGGCGGGCCTATTGTATTCAACGAAGGTCAAGTATGGCAATTGGGAAAGGACGAGGACATGACTAAACCCAGAGGGACCCATAAGTGGGACCGGAGGTGTATGCCCCATGCCAATTTAAAGAGCAATCAAACTTTAAGTTCTTCAGTCCTTATATAATAAAATATCAGTAATAACACTCCAATATAATGTCTCCTGAGCGGTCAATACTCCAATATATTGTATTAAATATACAACATTGACGTAATCTGTACTGCGTATGTATATGTGTGTATATATATATATATATATATATATATATATATACATACACAGTACAGATTAAGTCAATGTTGTTACATCAGTGAAAAAATATTCATTAAATCTCCATTAACATGCAAATATACACAATTTACAACTAAATTCACTAATTTCGTGGTCCGCTTGACCAATTAATATATTACAATTAATTAAGGTTTTTAGTTGAGATAAAAAAGTCAATGGCCCGAGCGGGATTCGAACCCATGATCTTCGGCTAGATACGCCGCTGCTCTACCACTTGAGCTATCTTGACCTCGATCCACTGGGACACTAATTTCCCATCTCAACCACACCTTTTGAATTTTCCCTCCTTTTTGCCATTTTTCAAACGTGTAATCGGATTGGATTCTCGACGACAAATGACGACAAATTCAAAAGGTGGGGTTGAGATGGGAAGTTAGTGTCCGAGTGGATCGAGGTCACGATAGCTCAAGTGGTAGAGAAGCGGCGTATCTAGCCGAAGATCGTGGGTTCGAATCCCGTTCGTGCCATTGACTTTTTTATCTCAACTAAAAACCTTTACAATTTACAACTTTTCCAATAAACAAGCGTTTCTGTAAATTTGCTTTTAAAAAGTTTATAACGCAGTTATTTAAAAAAAATTCAAAATCGCTTGGAAAGGTGGTAACATGATTATCTATTCAAACAAGATAACGGGGCAGCAAGGGATCACGAACGTACCTCCTATATTAAATCTCGCCAAAGATAAAATTGACCAAATTGACATTTTGAGACACCCATGCGATGACACCTTAAAAAAATTAGACACGGCCTAAATTCTTTTCTGACGGTAATAAATACTTGAAATGTGAGAGGAAGTCTTATAAAAGAAATTTGAAAACCCCAAGCAGTGGTAATTTCATTGGACTCTTATTCGTTTTACTCGTCTAGAACCGACACAAATAACAAAGTAGGCCAAATATACTATGTTGACCGAACTTTGTCGAGAGAACCGAAAAAAAATTGTGATCTTGAATGACCTACAGTTCCACAGGGAATCTGGCAGGTAAAAACAAATAAATCATTTTCAGTCCATCGCTTCACTTTCTAACTTTGTATACAAGGTAATATACAAAAAAACAACAGAATAATTTTTTTCCAAAGAAATGCGTTTCCAACTACTAAACACCGAAAATCGTCGAATAATTATAAAACTTCTGAATTAGCGTAACAAAATGTAAAAGTAAAAGTTTAAATTAAGTAAGTCATTCGCAAGTCCGAAATGCCACATTTCATTCGTCTTTTTGTTAGTAGGTAATAAATTCATCGCATATTGTTTTGGAAAAAAACAAAATAAATACCATAATTAAATGTTGATAATTTAGTAAATAATACGGTAAGTCCTTAGTCGTGCTCCATCTCGCCTAATATCCCAGTTGTTTTTTATGTGATGGACGTGCTATTCAACACCCAATATACAAGGAATATTGGATCAATAAAAACATAAATTCAGTAAGATAATTGATCAATACTGAAATGCCATAGAGTGGTTTCGAGGGAGATCAAAAGACAGGAGTTATCGCATTTTGGACAAGTGCCAGATGAAACGGCTAGAGGTTAAAATGGGTCGAGTGAGTCTACGTGTCATGCAAGGTAGCATACGCGGTCAGTTTAAGTTTTGGAACATAGTTGAAAACAGTAAGTTGTTTGGAGTCACTTTTGTGCTCAATCTGCTATGCATGTAATTGGTTTATTTTTCTAGCAATTTTAGTATTTGGGCCAGGTACAGTTACTGTATCATCGACGAAGGGTGCAAGGAGAGCAGTTAGGTGTAGTTCGAACATCTGCATTCCAAAGGATATGGTTGGTCCGACCACAATGTTCTGGAACTCCCGCGACAAGAGGACTGTAGTCGGAGTTAATCTGACCATTATCGGACCAGAAAGAATCTTCCCGTGGATAGGAGCGGACCGTTAAGTGGCATTGAGCTATGAGCTCTCCTGGGTATCCTCCAGGCCTAGGGTTTTCCTCTGCAAGGAATAGGAATCTCAGTTTACTTACAACATTATTTTATCGATTTTTATCGACCTATCGACCTATCATCATTATTTTATCGACCACACTGCAATATGCTTTCTCGATCAAAGAAAATGACAAGGGCAGTATCGGGATTGAATACTAGAACTGCTGACGTGGCAAGGGTAATATCTTCTGTATGTGCAGATCCACACAATAGGTCGCATTAGAATCATCATTTTACTCTGGCTCAAGGAAGAATTCAGGCTGGTTCGAGATGAATGGATGATGCTATGGCACAGCGTTCCCTCGGGCCAAAATTATAGAGTTGGCCTACGACAGTACATTTTTTCTAATATCACTCAAAGAAAACTCCAAGGGCAAGGGGAATTCGAACCCAAAACCGCCCATGTGGCAATTACGAGAATTGGACGCCCTAAAGGCAACACCCTGTATTGAATCCCTCCACAATCATTTTGAAAGATTGACTTAGCGTACTTCATTAAGCATAGCACCATTTTGGCTTAATTAGTGGAAGGCAAGGGCGGAGGCAAGATGATTTCAAGAGTGTTCGAGGAGACGGGATGACCCTTTTGTGCAGGATCCCTTCAGGCAAAAAATGTAAAGGCGGTCTGTCGAAGTGAAAAAGTACAAGTTATACAGGGTGTATACACTGCACGGTAGCCGGGAGTAATGGATAGAATCCCCTCGTGAGCCTTAGGGCGGTTTTTTTCTCCCCGGAGCCGGGTCCCATTAACATCAACCCGTCGTGACTTGTAAAGGGGAGGAGTTGTGGCCGCCCGGACCGGTTTTATATCATCCACAGTGAATCCCTCGAGGGTCTGGGCCACATCCAGTTTCTGGACCGAGTCGTCCTTGGGCTCGGAACGGGGGGAATCGCCGACCTCCGCTATTGAGCTCGTTACAAAATGTTCTGTTTTTATGAATAGGTATTCACAACAGGAGAACCGCTCTGACGGCCGTCTCCTTTGTCTTTTCGGTCCGCCCGGTCTGTTCCGGTATTTCGAAACGGATAATCCTGTACCATCGTGGTTTTTTCCCCCTTGAGCAGCTGACAATAAAAAAATTAAACAAAAAAACTGAAACGTGCGTGATGATCGAAGGCTGGAAGAAAAGTAGACAAATGGACAAACGGAAGAAAATTTGCAATTCAAATAAGTTCAGTCATTTTTTTATATACATACATAAATAGTCATTTGTAGCTTTTTTACCTCGTTGTAACCATGTAAAGCCCTCAAAGGAAGAATAAATATAAAAGAAAACATAATTTCTTAAATTTCTCAAAAATCTAGAATGCAACGCATGTCTGTTTACTAAATGTACACATGTTTAGCAAAAAATATTCCTTTTGAATATGAACAATTCCCTCTTGGAGTCTGAAAAGGGATGAATCTATACTTTCTTATCATTTTGGACTGATCAGCAAATACACTCACTTAATATCTTGGAGATTGGTGAGTATTGATTGTAGAAAAACAGTAAAAAACAGACAGGCTTATCAATTTTGCAGTGCAAAAAGGTTTTATCGTTATAAATCCGAAAATATGGACGTTCGCTACAATTTGTCTAGAAAGCCGTGTACCAGAAAGAACCACACAGAACGGAAACCCAACTTCCTGAACAGACTGTCAATAATAACCATTATGTTTTACATACAAAACAATGTACTTACAGAAGGTAGTATAGTGAGTGGTATTTCTTACCTGAAACAAAAGAAAAAACTACATTAATCATAGCAAGGTTACAACATAGACGATACGACGACAGAACGTCCAAAGGTTTTAAAATTGGAGTTCCCTGTTGAAATACGGGACGAGTATTTAAATGTACTGAGGAAGAGTCACAGCGTGGCTCGAAAGGCTTTTGCAATAAAATGAATGGAGAAAAATAAATACTGTGAAAAGTGCGTTTTTTCCCACAGAACTAAGTACTTTCCTCGATGCCTCTTCGCGCACTTTTCTTGGTACGAGAATTGCCTTCCCAAAGTGGCCATACCGTCTACGAGCTAGTGCCTTAAATTCACAAAGAATAAGTGTCTCTGCTTTGCCCATCTTCTTTAGATTGTAGTTGAGGGGTGGTTGAGAGGCCTTTTTCTCAGATCTTGCCAGCTGAGAAAGTGGAATTCCTTCTTCTTCTTTTTTTGAGAGATTTACGACACTAAAAATTGTGCTAAAATGGCAGACTGTGCTGGAAAAATATTTTGAGAAAGACAAACTGTATGCTGAGTCAATTCAGCTCTCTCAGCCATTTTAGTACACTTTCTGATATGGTAGTTATGGCCCCTGGTTTACTAAGAGTTAAGAGTTCCTTCGTCTTCCATTTGGAAAGATTTACGAGTTCTGTAAGACAGGTTGCGCCCCTAAGCAATAAAGTAAGTTGCGCCCTATATTGAGCCATTTTGACAATGGTAAGGACAAAGGGAAAGCCCAGTCAGCCAAGCCGAGCCGAATGCGGACTGGTTTTGTGTTTCCCATTTCATTTTTCCCAATAAAGACAGTTTTATTATCATTTTGAGTTATAATTTTCATCAATTCTTCACGCCTCGTAATATGTCCGTTAAATTAGATTTTCTTTTTTAACCCCTTTTTTATAGCTCACTCAGTTCAGCTCAGCTCACCTAGTAATTTTTTAGCAAACCTTCTGGTGTTCCAAGCGATGGTTCCATTCCCATGAGGCCTATAGCCCTTCTTTGGCGAATCGGGCAGGCTGTTCGTCTGGGGCGAGCTGAGAGATTCATAAATCTCCCAAAGAGGAAGACGAAGGAACTCTGCGCTCTTAGCAAACCAGGAACATCTAGGAATATCAGAAACTGTGAAAAATGGCTGTTTGAGCTGGAAAATATCTTTAGAAAGAAAAACACAGCTGAGTTTTTCCGTACCAAGCTCGAGTTTTTCCAACTCACTAAGCCATTTCTATTACACTTTCTAGAATGTCCATTATGGTTTTGGTTTCGCTGAGAGAGTGGATTTCCTCCCTTAGCCTTGCCTCATACCGTGTGCCACTTGTTCGCAGTTCATTCACTAAACAATTTTTAGCAAATTTTTGGTGTGCTTAGTTGTGGTTCCAGAACCATGGGTGAGATGGCCTTTCTTTGGCGAGTTGGTCAGCCTGTTCGTTTCTTTCTATACCTTCATGTCCTAGAACCCATCCAACCACAAAGGTGAGCTGTTCTCCTAAGTATATTACTTATACACTATTTAGGTACTCCAGAATAATTTAGAACTAAAAGTATAGCTTTTAGAGCAGCTGCTTGACTAACTGAAGGCAATTAGATACGTGCACTCTCGTTCTTCTGTATTAAATCCTGTGGACAGAACTGGATTTCATGGGCTCAGCTTGGGCAATAATTGGAACCAGTAGTCCAAGGAACATATAATTCCGTAATAGTACTCCTTGTTCTTTGATCCGTCAGAGGTCAGGATATAGGGCCTCTTCCTGAAAACTATGGATATTTTTCCTCCAAAGATCTCTAGAACATCTTTTATCTACAGCCCCCATAATTTTAGTTTCATTTAACTAATGTTTGATATGCTCTGGGAGTTTGGTTTAACGATTGGTGATACAAAAGGTGCAAACTGTTTCCAGACGCATATGGCTGCTACACAAAACCGGTTTGTAACAACAACTGATTTAAATAAGAATTAAATCTACTTCAGAATCGAATCCGCGAAAAATTGTCGAACGTTCAACGATTTGACGACAAAGAGACGACAAGACATACGAAACCACGCCCGTTAAGACTGAGGTGAAATGAAAAGGCGAAACTTATATTACGACAAGTCTTGTCACGGTTGTTAGCCGGATCGTTGGGCAAAAATGCAGATAGGGTCATGGCCCGGGGCGGAATCCCGGGCGTCGTTTTTAACTGGCCGGATGCAGAGCACGACGGTGCGCGGCGGACCTTGACCGAGCTGGGCACGTGAACGACTATCGAGCGTTGCAACCGGTATGCGTCCGACGTTTCATGCGATGAACCTCTTGACGTTTAAATTGTTTCCAGGAGGGGAAGACTTCTTTTCTATCAATGAGAAAGACGCGATAGTATCTTTTTAATTATGTCTGGGTCGTCAGGGGACGGAAGATTGGACGAAATCAACCGATTTGATATGGCCAAGCTATGACATTTCTTTAATTAACCTTTCTTTAATTAAGTCAGATCATCACTCGACTGAGTCATCGTTTCGGTATGCCCCCCTTTTCGAAGTTCAAAGACTGACTCTACAAATGAACCCTAACTTACATCATAGTTAAATTTCTGTTAACCTCAGATCAAATTAAAGTCTCATCACGTACTATATTGCTTAGGTGTTCCCTTTTATCTCAAAAAGTAATCTAGAAATGTAAAAAACTTTTATGACTTTAATTTGGTCCTCCGGGTCGGATATGCCAATTATGTCGATGGTCACTTAGTACATATTTTTACATAACATACATTTATTAGTATGTATCAAATTACAATACTTATTCAGTGTTTAGAAAGAGTTACAGTTATAGTTTATCTTTTTTGTTGACTCACTCTGAATTGGAAATGTTAGCAGAATAATTTATTTAACCTCCCTCTGTGATTCCTTCCTAAAATGTAAACCACCCGGTTTTAAAAAAATTGATAATTGGGGTTGAAAAGTTGGTTCATTACAACAACGATCAGAGAGGAAAATGCTGGAGAAAACGCAGTGACTCACTGTTAACAATTCCAAAAGCCGGATTATTTCTAAAGAAGATCTTTCGGTCTTTCTTCACGTTGTTCACTTTTACTTTGTACATTTTAAATTGAAAGATATGGTTCGATATAGATTTTATCAAAGAATGTATTTTTGATTATACAGTTAGTATATATTGGGTTGTCCGGAAAATAATGCAGGATTTTGGTATTAAACAAAAAAAAAGAAACTAGTTACTTTAAAGCAATGTTCTTTAATCAAAATAATNTGACATTCATACAAATGAGTAATCCTGTAAACGTAAACAGAATATTTTATATAGATTTTTTTTAATGAAAACTTAAAATCCTGCATTATTTTCCGGACAACCCAATAGTTTATAGGATAATTACTAGATTTATGCTTTAGAATCAAGTTTATTGAGGCTCATATGGATGATTGGAGAGGGTTGCGTGCCCATCCAACGTGCGCCATGTGCTTTTATGTGTTTTTATTCTGTTGTCTATAAGAGATGTAGGATTATTAAAAAACAACCGGCCAAACGTGTTTTTCAGGTTCCATTGATGTCTTATTTCCAAGTAAAAACGAGTCCTTTTTGTTTTTCCGGATCGTGTGTTGATTCCAAACCGAAACGTCGCCTGCGGTTCCAAAAGGCCGCCGGCGGTACTAGGGAGGGCCTATTTAATTGTCCTAATGACAAAAGACCTATCAGAGGCATAATAAAAAATAAATTAAAGGGAGGATCAAAGCTGGATCTTTTTATACTGGTGTTTCTGCTAATGAAATTCGACCCTTTATTGCTACTGTTTGAAGGACTTCAATGATCTCCCGGAAAAGAGAAGGTAAAATTGATTTAAAACCACATTTCGGTTATATTACCCTTCGGAAAATATTCATGAAAAGGGTTTCCTTGTTCTCAGATACCGTCATTTCCAGCCAGGAATTGGAAAGAATCAAAACGAATATATTCCATCTATCAATTGGATAAAACACAGGCTTGAAAGCATCAAGGTCAGAATATCTACTTAAAAACAGCAAAGACTTTCATTTATTATTTATATATTGTAATATTTCGAATGACATCTGAATCATTGAATATTATTCAAACCTGTTCATTGATGAATGGTACATTTTCCTAACACCTTAACTCAATGCAATTTGAATACAAGTAATAGGGCTTGTCCTCTTCCCCTTCAGAAATGGTAAATTGGCTGAAACGATTTATGTTCAGATTAGAAGATGAGAGGGGATCTTTTATGCACATGATGCGAGTTCCCCTTCGCCCGATACCCTGTATATAATGCGGGGGCCCGTTGATTTCCTTAAAATTGTAAACGGGAGAATATTTATTACAACTCCAATCATCTTTCGCATCGCCGATTTGAATTTTTATTTTAATCGACATTTACTAATAAAACATGAGGATTGTTAATGAATAACCGGTTTATTTTCTTTAGGTTAGATCCATCCAGCCCTCAAACCAAAGCTATTTGTGCTCTTCTTTTGTCAAACAATACAAATATTCTTGTCATTCATACGGGCAGATTGTTAACAATTAATCTCATCTTACAACATAACAGCGAGAATCAGCAGACCCCATAGTTTCTAGTATAAGATTTATGTCCTATCAATCGAAGCATTGCCAATCCAGCCCCCAAATACCTCCATTAAAATAGTCACTCGAATCTAACTCCCGGGGGGGGGGAGAATGTGAGAGATGACGTCCGGCATACACTGACCATAACAATATTCCTGAGATCATGACAGAAACAAAATGAGAAATATCGGGCAAAGGAAATCACACCGGAAAAATATTGACAATTTGTAAAATTATTCCTCTTGTAGTTTTTCTTTGATTTTTTTCTTCTCAGAATGATATATTGAATGTACAGTAAATAAATTCATTTTTGTCTTGTCTTTTCACTTGAATCCAACTTGGAGACGGGTGTAAGATATATGCGGACATACAACGACCATAACAATATTCCAGTGATCACTATTGACAGAAACAAAAAGAGAAAAGCAGGGCCAAGGAAATCACACCGGAAAAATATTAACAATTCGTACAGTTATTTCTTTTGTATTTTTTTATTTAATTTTTTCTTCTTCTCAGAATAATGTATTCAATGTACAGTAAATAAATTCATTTTTGTCTTGTCTTTTCACTTGATTCCAATTTGGAGACGAGTGTAAGATATATGCGGACACACAACGACCATATCAATATTTCTGTGATTATTGTTGACAGAAACAAAAAGAGAAAAGCAGGGCCAAGGAAATCACACCGGAAAAATATGAACAATTCGTACAATTATTTCTCTTGTATTTTTTAATTTAATTTTTTCTTCTTCTCAGAATAATGTATTCAATGTACAGTAAATAAATTCATTTTTGTCTTGTCTTTTCACTCGAATCCAACTTGGAGACGGGTGTAAGATATATGCGGACATACAACGACCATAACAATATTCCAGTGATCATTATTGACAGAAACAAAAAGAGAAAAGCAGGGCCCTTATAGACTAATTCAAAAACTTCTTTTATTGGTGGAGTAAAATCCCTTATTGGAAATACATCGTTGGAAATTTGTTACGTTTAGATCGACTGCCTTTGCTGTTGATTTGGTTGAACAGTTAGGCTCAAAAACAGTTGAATTTCAACGTGTACAAAAGGAAAACGTTTTATCTCATATTGTTTATTAACAATTGACAACTTGTGTGATAGCAACTCGTAAGGAGTGTTCATGATAAGACGTTTATCATGAATGCAATAACAGCTAACAACGATCGTCCGAGTTAGATAACCGACATAAAATCATAAAATAGCTCAGTAACTGGATTGGGTTGGTGAAAAATTAATGCAGGTTTGGAAAATTTGTTTTACTTTCGCAAGTGCTTATCATGTAAACAATGTTAAATCTCAAATCTAATTTATGGATTATAATAAATACTTTTAAGTGTTATCTTTTATACAAAACATTTTAGTTTATATTGAATTTTATAAGAGTGGGGACCTTTGAAATTAAATATGTTCAAACTAGGATTAAACTTTGGCGAAGTGCGGCCCAAACCGCGCGTGACGTCAATACCGTTTGGGTGGAGGGAAGCATTAGGGAATGGACATGCAGCGATGGTTCCAGAGAGGTCAGTCGCAAAGACAGGTAGGGTCCGTGGTAGGTCTTTCGTTGTAGACGATGACTAACTCAAAACGTTGATTGAAGAAAAATCACGTAAAACAACATGGAAATTGCAGAAGGGTTTTGTGTTGACCACTCAACCGTTGTTGGCCCTCTGGAGAAAATTGGTAAAGTAAAGAAGGCCGACAAGTGAGTATCACACGAACTAACCGAAGCCCAAAAATTCGACGCTTTGAAATTTGCACGTCTCTTATGTTGCACCACCAAAATGATCCATTTCTCGATCGAATCATCAAGTGCGATGAGTAAGGATTCTGTAAGATAACAGGAGGCGTACAGGTCAGTGACTGGACAAAGATGAAACCCCAAAACACATCCCAAAACCAAATCTGCACGCAAAAAACGTTATGGTGACTATTTGGTGGTGTATTGGGGGGTTGTTTACTATCACAGCAGAGAAATATTGGTAAGAAATTGACAAAATGCACGGGAAACTACAACGCCTTCGTAATCCGTAAGAGGCCGCTTCTTCTTCATTATGATACCGCTAGTCGACATGTGGCCCTGCGGAAACTTAAGGACTTACGATATGAAACCTTGCCGCACCCTCCATTTTCACCCGACCTATCGACCACAGATTTACACTTTTTTAGGCATTTTGATCACTTCTTGAGGGATAAAACTTTTAGAGAACGCAGTGAAGCCGAACACGCCTTCCAAGACATTACTATGAGTCGAAATAAAGATTTTTATGTTAGCGGAATAAAAGCGCTTATTACTCGTTGGCAAAGATGTATAGATTGTGATGGAAAATATTTTTGAATAAATTTTCTTTATTTTATAAAAATTAAAAGTAGTTTTGACTGCTTTTTCAAAACCAGCACTATTTTTACACCGGCTCAATGCACTAATAGGAGAGCATTCTTGCAAAAAAATATCGTTTACCATGTGATGACCCAAGTGGAATTTTGGTCTCGGTATTGGCGTAACAGTTGACAAAATGTTATCAATTAAACTTCCTTTATTTCTGTCGCTGTTAACGAGGAAAGGGATAAATTTATACCAATTAAAACGGTATCTCCATGAAATATTAATTAGCCAGATTCTTTTTAGTGTAAACAATAGACAATATAGTTTTAATGTGATCTCACGTATGTAGATAATGGGGGTTTGGGTTTTTCTCCTTGAAAAAGCTCCGGTGATGGCCAGGCCAGAAGATAAGGCGAAACCGCAAAGCACGAACCCATCCGACCAGGATAATCATCCGGGTAATTTATGTGTTAACGTATTTCCGATTTTGGAATTTTCATTCCTGGATCTGTTACGTGATAATGCAACAATCCACGTAGCCGAACGGCCAATAAGAGTTTGACCACGATGAAACAGCGGGACCTTACGGATCCATAACCGCGAAGAGTAATGAAATCATTTTAACGGTAAAATTTAAAACTTTCTCCATTAAGGCTACAGTACAAACAAGGGCATAAATACGTTTAATCCAACTCCCGTGGGAACAACTGCCGGCCCTGAAAGTTTTTTTTATATTTATATTAAACGCGGAGCAAAAATACTTCCCCGGATATAAATGAATAAATCAACTTTAGTATTGATCTATTACTCTGTTTCTGAAAGTTGGCCAACGCGAGGCGAAGTTGGGAAAGTGATCACAAAGTTTTGGATCAGGAGTTGTGAGACGAGAAGTGGGGGAGGAAAGTTTGACGAAACTTTACTTCTGATAAGACTGTAAAGTTTGGAGGGGGGTGAGGCCGACATTTTTCCCCCTTTTCCTCGCGAAATATTTATACTCCTGTTATGACCGACTCTTTATCTCCTGAGGCAATGAATAAGGTAATGAATTTCGAAACTTACTGATCATTTCTGAACTAATCTGGAGCTGTCGGTTCTATTTTTTACAAGACACGTCTTCACACAACTGACGTGATTTTATAGGGCCCGCAGAATATTGCTGTTTTTATGATGCGTTTTACCAGAGAGATACTAGGACAGATTTTTCAAAGAAAAAATATTTTTTAAGTGAAATAACCCATGTTTAAATCCATAATGATTTATAGACCTAAAACCTATAATCGGGATAACAAGATCAAACATAGGATCCTCTGTTGTAGAATGGGTCAAAGCGAAAGAAGAAATGAACGAACTCTAGAGGTGACAGCCACTCATGCTTAAAAGAAAACTGGCAAACACATTGCTCGAGTGAGACAGGCTAAGATTTAGAATGATGATAGTGCATTATACTGGGCACTGGCATCTGAGAAAACCCCTCACACGATGAGCCCAGTTGTAGGTTATGTTATGAGGAGGAACAAACTGCCGTCTATATTATCTTCGAATGCGAATCAACCTCTCAATGGAGACATGACCTAGGGTACCAAGATGTGCAAGGAAAATTGCAGTAAAAACAGACAATGACGTTCTACATTTAAAACAAGATTCGAGTGAATTAAACCCGAACTTAGGAACAAGTAAAAATATAATAAACACTTTAGACTTTAGAGGCTTGGGGAATGATAAACCCTAGCTTTTTAGTATTTCTATCATCTACATGACCATCAGGTTTTACTTAATATCTAAAGAGTTTCTAATAGAAGAGACAAGATTTTATATCGTTGCAAATTTTTGTCGCAGTGGCACCTTTTGTTAATTAGGCATTGCGCGCGTTTCCCACTGTACTTCCTCTACAGACAAAAGGTTATCACCGTCTAAAGACCTAAAGTCTAAAAAATAATAATAATTGGTGAAACGGGAGCTTGAAACGGCCTCATTAAAAACGCTCCATCCGTTCGTAAAGGGGTATAAAAATCCAGAAGCTTAATAACGCCGTAACAAATATATAATTGGGTTCCACATGGTCTTCGCTGGCGAGGGAAAAGTAAACAACCCCCGTCCGCCCTTTCCGGGTCA